GCAGTAAAGACCTAGGCAATCGGGTCTCAGAACCTGATCTTTTATTACTGTATCATACTGAATTGAGATAACAGATTGTTCAGTTTAGACAAACCAAGCTGAATAAGCTTGAGAGTAATATTGCCAGGATATTGCCTGTTAGGATATGTTTCAAATTTAATAAGTAAATAAATTTCTGAATTTAGAGAGCATTTGGATTTAGCCATGCATTTCTTAAAAAATTCATATAAAACAAAGAGCCATAATATCAAATAATCAGTGCTTATTGATGAAGTAAAACTTTTCTGATCAGTGCAAAACACAATTAAATTTTGAGAAATTAAAACAATCACCTTGAGGGTAAAAAATACATTTATTATTTTAGAGAATGATAAAGGCACATATTACCAAAGAAGTAAGTAATGGCAAGATCTTGTGTATTTTTATATTGCGATATATGTATTGTTAAATATGTTATGTTTCCTTTATAGACACCACAATGTGACAGGTCCATAGACCTTGGACTAAACAAATATAGGAACACAGCCTTTGGTAGTTTCTTACTTTGGCTTATGTAATTTAGGCACTAAGGTTCATGTATTTTATCTATAAAATGGATGTAAAACCCAATGTTTTATTTTTCCTGAAATGTTAAGAAACCTAATCTTGGCAAAGTCTAAGTTGAATAGTTTGACCTAGTCACTCTCTTGCTTCAGTCTTCAGAGAACTTATTACATTTGAAATGGCATTTGCAAGCATGTTTTCCTATTCCTTCTCTGTCTCTAAATAAGTTCAAAAGAGATAACCTTTCTAAATTGTTTAGAGGTTCCACAAAAAAATAAACATAAAGCTATCCAATGATCAAGCAAGCTTTTATCCAATATATCATAAACAAGGTCACACTAAAGCTAACAGCATAACTATGTTCTGTGTTCACTGCAGCATTGTTTACGATAGACAAGATATGGAATCAGCACAGATGCCCCTCAATGGACTAATGGATCAAGAAAACATGGTACATATGCACAATGGAATTCTACGTATCCATCAAAAAGAACGATATTGTATCATTCTTTAGGCAATGGAAAGACTTAGAAAAAAATTAAGAAATTGTGTCTAAGTGTAATTATTTGTCTTTTACTATGCACTGAATTTACTTGTATATCCATAGGAACTTTCTAATTACATCCACACAGTGAGAGCAAAGGAGGATATACTTCAGACAGGACCACAAGGGCTCAATATCTATGTGTATATGACCATATGAAATGACACTTATCAAAATGAACTCCAATAAATGGAAGCAAGAAGTTTTTATTGTACTGTTTTGTGGTCCCCCCCACACCTCTTTTCCTTTAGTCTATTCCCTTCTGTGGCTATTTTTTTTTGTTTCTGTACCCTTTGTCTTATATACAAGTTTATCTGGTTTGGGAGGGGGAAAGGAAGCACAGAAATGGTGGGACAAAGGGTGAACCAATTCAGCAGTGAAGTGGGGAGTCAGGAGAGGAAAAACTGGGAGAGAATGATGGAGGGCGTGACACTGTTCAAAATGAAATGTGCTCATTACCTGACTTATGTAGTTGTAACCCATCTGTACATCACCTTTAAAATAAAATTTTAAAAATTGAAAATATTAAGTGAAATAAGCCACACCAGCAAAAGATAGGTTGGCATGACTTCCCTTATTTGTGGTAGCTAGAGTGTGCCTATAAATTTATAAGCAAACACAGGGGATGGTAAATATATATATATATATACACACACACACTGGGATAATTTGTATAGGTCTCTAGGCATTCAGAAACAGTGAAGCCAAAGGAGGCTACTCTTCCGGGAGGAACACAAAGGTATAATACCTATACCTATGTGCATCTGTAATACCTGTATGCATCTGATCATATAAAATTATATGTATCACAATGAACTCTAGGAAATGGAAACAATATTTTTTATCACCATTTTCATTTTCTTTTTTCACTTATTTGTTCATTTATCTGTCTTTGGGAGTGTAAAGGGGTCACAGAAATGGTGGGACAAAGGGTGAACAAATTTGTTACTGGTACTTACTGGTCACTAAGTTGAAAATTAACTATGCAACTTTTGGGTGGGGATGGGAACGAAAAACTGGGAAACAATGAAGGAAGGGTTGACATTGTTTAAAAAGAAATATACTCTTGATCTGTAACATTAATTCCTCTTCACATCATCCTTATAATAATAAAAACTGTATGCATGAATGGAAATGTTAAAATGAAATCTCCTTTTAAATAAAAGCCACAATTCTAAAGACATGAGACTCTATCTTTACAAGCTTAGATTAAGCAAAGATTTCTAGGAAAATGACTAGTAACCATAAAAATATTTAAACTAGATGTCAGGAAACTTAGAAAATAAAACATTATAAAATTCAAACTGAACTATGGTTCAGTGGTAGAGTGCTTTTCTTGCATGCATGAGGCCCTGGGTTCAAATTCTCAACCACATAAGCAGAAAAAGCCAGAAGTGGTGCTGTGGCTCAAGTCTGATAGTGCGTTAGACTTGAGCTGAAGAGCTGAGAGAAAGCGCCCAGGTCCAGAGTTCAGGCTCCACAACCGACAAAAATAAAAATAAAAAATAAAAATAAAAAATAAAATATGCAAACTATAAAATATTCCCAAAACTAAGATCAATAAAAATCTTTAATCTATAATATGTGTGTTGTTTGGGTAGCTGATCACCTGTCTAACAATCATGACATTCTGAGTTCAAACTTCCATACCAAGAACAAAAAGAAAAATAAAAAAAGAGAAAGAAAAGAAGGAAAGAAGAAGAAATGAAGGAACGAAGGAAGGGACATATTAGAATCAAGTATTATAATCCAAACAATAAAGAAAAAGAATAAGGAACATTTAAAACAAAGGCATTAAAGAATGTTACTATACCATCAGGTTTCTTTTTTTTTAAATTATGAAAATACCGTATAGAGGTTTCTTTAATGTAGTAAACGTTACAAAACATTGATGAGTGTAGACAAAGAAAAAAGAATATTATTTGCAAATCAAATTGGTTCAATACATAATAGCCACTGAGAATTCATTATGACCGCATTGATATAAGCACTATTTGGGGAATGAGCTATTTTCACCACCACCTTTTGTGGTGAGAATTGTTATTTTCTTCCCATATGTGAGAATTTGAGATATGGAGCAAATGGGGAGGTCACAGTTAGTTCATAGCTAGCCTCCTGGATTGGCCCCAATCTACACAGAGCCTGAAATCCTAATCCTGACTCTTTCGCTGTAGATACAGTACATCCCAGAGGATTTACACACCATAAAGGGAACCACATGTACCTTTAAGATTATTGGAAAGCCTAAAGAACTTTACTGAATTTTGCATAGTTCAAGCCTGTTGTTACATTTATGTGTGTTTGGGGTATGGGGATAGAACTGAGACAATTTTCTTCTACATTAAAATCTAAAATAAGAGGGATTCTAAATAGCTATTTAAAAGTAGTAGGTTCTTAATTTGAAAAATCAACAGTTTGCATTAGTGTATGGTTTTGATTTTGCCTTCTGTCCTATAAAGATTAAGAATGTTGATTTATTTCTTTAAAGATTCTCATTCATCTGAGCCTCTTTTTCTGTAGAAGGAGACTGAATGAATCAATAAACTCTATTCTTTTGATGCTTCTGGTATTTAGAATACAAGCCAAAATTTATATTTTTGCAAATGTTTTAGTTTATCTACATCTCAAAGGCTAGAAAAGTAATAAAACATGGAAATTAAATACAGGGTAGGCGTTCTAGAAATCTCTCACTATAGTTTGCTCTCAGTATCCACATATATATGCACAGTAATTCCATATGGCTGCTACTATTCATTTATTTTTCTGAAAAAAAATGAGTAATCACTTTGGCTTAGCACAATTGTATGGTCCTTGCCAGTTTTGACTACTCATCTTTTCAACTACTTTGAAAAAAAATGTTGAATTTCCCTTTTGGAAATAACTAGCTTTTCAGTAACATATTGCTTGTATTTGCCCATCCACTTTCTAAGAACTCCAAAATATTAATTATTTTACATTTTCTACACTGAATCAGGCTGTATAGAAGGAAAATAATTCAATTCTTGACAAAGTAGGTTTCTAAATGTGATTACTTTCTGAATTAATAAATGACATAATTAAGCTTATAATGATCCCTAAATATATTATGCAAGGGATATTTATGTGTCTATGTGACATTGTTTCTATGATGCTACTTGATGGAAAACTTAAAAATAAAAGTAAAACATCAGCAAAGAGGTTATAAATATGGAGTTAAGGCTCCCCCCCCCCGCATTTTTATTATTATAAAGGTGACGTAAAGAGGAATTAAAGTTACAGATCAAGAGTACATTTCTTTTTAAACAATGTCAGCCCTTCCCTCTTTGTCTCCATTTTTCCTTCATTGACCTCCTTTATCATCATTCACCCTTATTCCCTCGTTTACCCCATCCTTTAACTATTTTAACAGGTTCTTTCTTCAAACATGTATATAAAGTACTTTGACCATAATAACTCACATTCACCTTATGTTTTTTCTCACCTTATGTTTTTCTCCTACCTCTCTTGCTAATTTCCTTACAACAGAGACTATTTACTTTTTGATCATTCATTTAGTGTATATTAATTATACAAGGGAGTTGCACCAAGGTATTTTTGCATTTGCATATATTATATGACATAATAAACCCTTCTATAGCTTTCTTTCTGCAGTCCCATCATTCTATTGATCAACAGTTTTCTGTGAGCTGTGTTATACATAGACACAGTGTATTTCAATATTATTCACCCTCCACCATTCATAATAATCAAAAGACCAATATAAGTTAAGTGTGGCAGATTGAATTTTACAAAAATTAGATACAACAATAAGGAACTGAGCTTTTTTGTTGTATACTATATTATTAGGTGATGCAAACAGTCAATATAAATTCCTAAAGGAAAAAAACTAAAAACCAAAAAATTTTACTATACGTGAAAATATTTATATGCTTACCTTTGTACGATAACTTGAGCCGTGGAATATTTTGCTTAGATGTTCCAGTGACAGGAAGAAACAGCATGGTCATGCTTAGCATCATTAAACCATGTAAAATGTGAAATTCTTGACATTGGGTCTTGGGTCTCTCATCTTTATTAGCATTCATGATGAAAATAATATCCTCTTTCAAATGATGTTAATGTATCTGAAAATGTTTAAAAAATGATCAGGATAACATTTTTTGAAGATTTTTTTTCAGATGTACTACTGTTTTCAGAAAATATATAGATTTTTTAAATAAGTAAGTTCTTATGTGATTTGTTCTTGCAGAATTGTCATAAACCAAATAAGTCATAATTGTTAAATAAAATTCTGAATCATCTTTACTCAGATGGACAAATGAACACAGTGTTACAAATCCAATTATATAAATGACTACTGAAAATTTCTCTTGTTGTATTAAAGCAATTTTCACATTTTTGCTGCAAGTATTTAACACTTCATCCTTGCTCATCACTTTATAGATTCTTTGACTAGGTAGAAGCACTAGGAGAAGACTCTTTTTACATCATACCATCTCCAAAGAACAAGATCCTCAAACCAAATCATACAAAGCAGCCTTTCTTGAAGTGGATGTATTCTCATTTCTCAGTTGAAATTCCACCAGAGTTAGTAAAGCTAGATACTATTAGGTCAAGGCCACTTATATAGGTGGTAGGCCTGGACCAATGCAAGCTCACCATGAATGAATGAATTTTTCATTAAGTATAGTCATTGACCAGCAGCATGCAGGATATTTTTTAAGGGCTTTACATAGCCAAAATCATTTAATGTTAGTGACAGCATAATGTTAAGGCAATTATTACTTAATTTTACAGATGAGAAAACTGAAGTACAGAATGATTATCTATCTATCTATCTATCTATCTATCTATCTATCTATCTATCTATCTATCTATCTATCTATCTACCTATTTCTAATATGGTACTAGTGCTTGAAGTCAGAGCCTGGCACTCTCCCTTAGCTTCTTCTGCTAAAAGCTATCATTCAGCCACTTGTCCCATACCTCCACTTCTTTAACGGGTTTTTTAAAGTCACATGGGAAGAGATGAATCAAACGAAGCCTTTAGGGAGAGTCTGCCTTTTCTACATGTAAACCTATGGTGCTTTTCCTTTGGAGTCTTTAACTTTTCTTCCTTCTTCACTAAGACACTGCCTGTCTTTCTAGGAAGGAGTTCACTTTTAACCAATACTTGCTATGATGGATTCCAGAGAGGATCCTATATGTGGTAACTGCTTTGTTTGGTATTTGGTGTGTGTACGTGTGTGCATGTGTGTGTGTGTGTGTGTGTGTGTGTGTGTGTGTGTGTGTGTGTGTGTCTATCTATCTATCTATCCTTATCAATTACTACCACTATAGTAAATTCTTGACTATTTATTAAGTTAAAGTAAAATATAAGATTCCTTTCTATAGGAGTGGCTGACTACATAAAAATAAGTTACAACAAAATGAGATGTTTACAAGATACCATGGATGATAACTTAAAAGTGTACTATGTATATTTAAGCAAGACAAGTAATTTTATATACAAAAGAGCAGAATTGAATGTAACAGGAGAGAATTCTACAGACAGTGATATCTGGTTCAGGGATGCAAAAACACAGAGCTGACAACATGATAGACTTAATCAAATGAGGAAAAGGAGGAAAAAGTGCATTGTCAACCAATGGGGGACTGGACAAAGGAACTTAAAGAAACTCTTAAATCTGCCTCATGCCAGTTTGGGTACCTAATATATTATGACTCAAAACAAAGCATCACTTTCACTGCCCTTGATATTCAATCATGTCTGGCTCCACCTCTCCCCAAAGAACTCCTCTCAGCTCCTTTCCCCATCCTTTACCTTTGTCTAGATCTGATTGTGATTAGGAACCGTGTGAACGCAGTAGATAAGCCCACATCTTTCACATACCAACAAGTATCTTTTCTCATACCCATGCCCTCTGAAAATAGGAAAAGGTAAATCGAATGGCTAGGTAGAAGTAATGGTTAATTTGAATAGTCTCATTTTTCATTAGATTTAGTTTTTCTGAGATTCTGGACTTGGAAAAATCCTTTTCCCCCCTCCATGACATGCAATAATGCATGCAACGTGAACGCATGTTTATGTACATAGGCAAAAAAGAGAAACTTTCCATATGTGTGTTTTATTAGCAATAGTGACCTCAGTATAGGACATTTCCTGGAAATTAATGACTAGTTGAAGTTAATGGCTCTTGGCTATGTATTAAGATAACTACTCCTCCAACTGGTCATTAATCGCTAAGACATGCCCTATGCCTCCAACATTGTAAGTTAAAATGATTGATGTTTTGGTTTTCAATGAACAGTAGTTATACTGTTCATTGTAGCCTAACTCATTAATATTGTTAAATAAGTTAAAAATCAAAGTACTGCTCTCTTTACTACTGTGACCCTCTGATATGTGCCTACATGTGCTGAGACATATAGTAAGGGGTGGAGGGGAATAAAATAGGCCAAAAATCTGTTAGAACTTTAAAAAAAATGGAAGATTATTCTACTAAATAAATCTACTAAGGCGGATCTTTACTTTTCCTCCTGCTCCTGCTCCTGCTCCTGCTCCTCCTCCTCCTCCTCCTCCTCCTCCTCCTTCTTCTTCTTAGTTTTTTTGTTTTTTGTTAGTCGTGGGGCTTGAATTCTGGGCCTGGACGCTGTCCCTCAGTTCTTCAGCTCAAGGGTAGCACTCTACCGTTTGAGTCACAGCACCACTTCCGGCTTTTTCTGCTTATATGGTGCTGAGGAATCAAACCCAGGGCCTCATTCATGCAAGGCAAGCATTCTACCACTGAGCCACTTTCCCGGCCCATAAAGCAGATATTTTTTCTACAGTTTAATGCTCCAAATTCTTTATTATTCTCTCCAAATCTTTGTCAAATTCAATGGTTAATTTTGCAGTTGAGATAATTTATGGGTTAAACATCTTTTTAAACCTCTCTACTGATACATTGATATTTTGTTAGTATGTGTGTGTGTGTGTGTGTGTGCACGCTGTGTGAACATACACATAGATAAGCTCTGCATATGGGAGGAATTATGAAGAGAAGTAGGTGTGATTTAGTCAAAGTGGGTGGACTTACTGAAATACACAGGTTATACTGCATGCTACTGTCTGTAACGATCTCAACCTGGAGCCAATTAACTGGATATAATCTATTCCAGATGTTCACTGAGACAAATAGCACTCTTGGGGATCTTCAGATGTGGAGCCAATAGGGAGTGTACTGATTATGAGATTTTTACACACTGTTCCACTAAATCAGAGGTCCAAATGTACATTCTAACACTCAAGAAGGCCTTGTGCCATTTCCCTATGGGATGTCTAGTCCAGAACTTATTATGTAGAAGATAACTTATCAAGAAATTTATTTGTGGAGCTAGATGTGTAAAATTTTATACATGATTTCATTAATGTGCCTTATTTATTTATAACAATTTGTTCCAGGAGTCATTAAGATATGTATGTGTACCATTAGTGTAGAAAAACATACTCTGCATATAAGGTTGCAGACAAAATATACCGCATGTTCACACATGAAAATCCTGAATGATTAGATTTGAAGTTTATTCTGAGTTTCCCCCATGTGTGTGTGTGTTCGTGTGTGCGTGTGTGTGTGTGTGTGTGTGTGTGTGTGTGTGTGTGCGTGCACACATGAGTGTATGTAGATGGAGGGAGACAGGAAAAGGATGGTTGAGGAATTAGCCATCTGTATTAACTATGAAACTCTTCATAACTTGGTGATACATATAAGATCAAATTGAGCTTATTTTTGCTAAGCAAGAGTGTGAGGCCTGGACAATAAAATTAATCAATTAATTAATGCAATATCTGAATAAATTCACTTTGCTTAAAAAACAACTTACAATTTTCAATCTTTGTTCCTTTAGCTTGTTTTCCTGTAAGGCAGATAGGCTTGGTAATATTACTTCCTGACATGGCTGGAAAGGTCAAAGTGAACAGCAGTTGTAGAAGAATTTTGAAAAACAAGGAAATAATATAATACAAAAAATAAATGAGTAGTTTATGGTTGCAAAAGACTATTATATACCAAAAATTTCAAATCAAATCATGAAAATGTCAAAACAGGATATAAGTGATATAGAAGAGGATTGAATGGAGTTTGGGATGAAAGTATTTTCATTTCAATTAATCTGTGTATTTTCTGATTTTTTCTACTTCTTGATTTTGAATGTACATAATATCCTACTCCTATAGTAGAGTCAGGGATATGTAATTACTGAGTAGTGCACAACACTGTCAGTAATGAGCAGAATTTACAAGGCAGCAATTTTTTTGTTGAATAATTTATCTGTAAATGGGCTTCACTGAGGTCAAGCCTCTTGGATAATTCTGGATGATTGACCTGTTCATTTACATTTGATTGAATGTTTAATGTACCTGCTAACATCCTTTTAATAGACCATGTTACTTCCCTACACCAAACATATAAACCTCATCAGTAATCAGTCATAAGTATGAACTAACTTACTTATTTAAAGAAAAATTGATAAAAATAGAGTGGTTTATATATATAATGGTTTAAATATTATGTTTGTATTCTAAAATATACTGAAATATAGTGTTACATAAATGTATGCTCATCGGGTTTTCATTCCTATAGCTATGTAATTATAGCTACAACAAATTCTTCAGGCTGTTATTCCTTTATTGAATAGAAAGAATAAAACTAAATTTTTGGAATATACATGTATGAATTTTTATATTTAATATTGTGGGTTATATTTTCTCCTGAGTATAACAACAAAAAATCAATATTTAAGTTATAAGGTAGTAGAAAGATAACCAAGTGCTAATTTGTTCATATAACAAAGTTACAATTGTAAAACAATACTTTAAATTATTTCTTGATACCACCATCATCCTGTCTTATATAAATTTGATTTTCAAAGAGGAAAACAGAGAATCATCAATTAGTAATGTCAGAAAAAGCATCAACAACATGAGTATGGTATTTATTATAATCATAGCATTATTTATTTTTTATTCTTTTTTAAATAAGTTTTTTATTGTGAAAATATTGTACAGAAGGGTTACAATTACATGAGCAAGGTAATGAGCACATTTCCTATGAGCATAGCTGCTTCCTCCTTTGTTTTTCCCCTA